GCAACCAGCCCGACTGCGCCTCTAGAAAGGACGGGGGAGATGCAAAAAAAAGGGGGCAGGAGGGGCCAAGCTGCTGGGTGGCAGGTGGGGAAGCAGCTGCGCAGCGGCCGCATCCCGTGCTGCATCTCCTGGCAGTGGCCTGCACCAGCCTGGTGGCTGCGCTCATCCCACCGCCTCCGCCACGCTCCGTGTCCCGCAGGAGCAGCAACACCAGTTGGGGGGTGTATTTTTTTTTTCCCCCCTCTAGTCATGGTTTTTAGTTTCACAGTTAGCTGAGCGCAATGCAAGGCAGCAGCGGCTGCAGGAGGAGATGAAACGAGGGAAAAGCTCAGAAAATGCCCTTCGTTAAACAGCTATCGCTTCACTTTCTCCCTGCAATGGGAAAAAGGGATGGAGACTGGCAGGAATAACACAGCAATAAAGCATAAGAAAAAAAATACAAATTTTAATTATTTTCTGTTTCCCAGTCTTGTTGAAGATGATGGTAGTGAAAAGGAAGCTGACCCAAGTGGCTCTACCAAGTAAATCCAACAAAAGGAAGATGCAAATAGACTCTGAAATTTCCTCACTGGGCAACACTGCATCTTCAGGAAAAAATAAAACAAACTTTCTGTATGGAACACGTTTCTGAATACACATCCAAAGACAAAGTCCAGGAGAGAACCCCATCTGGGATTTGCAGAGAATTGATGATAGGATTATATTGGCTCTACAGCATTCGCACGTGTTTTGTCAGGGTACAACAGAGCTAACAGACCTTCCAAGTTCATTTTCGCTCAGGTACTTGCAGATAAAAATCTGCCACTCAAAGGCTATTTTCCACTAAATATGCCAAGCTTCCGGCTTGACTTTTTACTCTGAGGAAAGCTCTTTTCCTGCCTGCCCCTCCGTGGCACGCATGCCACATTCTCCTAAAAAACAAGTATTTCCCCTCAAACTTCTGAAGCAACAAACAGCAACCACACTGGAAAAAGACCAAGTGTGGAAAATTTCAACCTGAGGCAGGAAAAATTTTGCCTGGCTACAGGTGACGGGCAAGCAGAAGGCCAGAGGAAAGCTTAAGCAAAACTAAACATGCTGCAGCTCCAAACATTGAGACACTGAACTAAAGCATATGCAGCTTTGCACACCTGTATTTTTATACATTACAGAAAAAAAAAAATGTTAAGCCATTCATTGCTATGGGCTTCTTAGAACGTATAAAGCTGAGCTGTGAGCAGGGGTTTTGGCTTTCAGTGACACGAAAGCTCTGGACACTCTTGGAGACCTGAGCACAAAGCAGGTCCCACGCAGTATTTTGTTCTTTTCTTTCCAAATGACTGAGCTGGTCTTCGAAGTCTTCCTCACTTGGAGACCTTGTCTCATACTGAATCTACAGCAGCGCGTTACCGCTGACTGCTTGACATCTGTTAACCAGGCGGCTTTGGAGATGGTGTCAGACAAAAGTTTTCTGAAGACAAGTACACCTTGCCCTCAACTCCAGCCAGGCAGAGAGGAACAATTTTTTTCCACAAAATCGCCCAGTCTTCTCTGCATTGTCTGCCTGTCCGTTACTGTAACTTTTTCCAGCCATTTTTCCTATGGCAGGAGCATGTCTGACTGATCTTCCTCCCCTTTGTTGCTCTGAGCTCTACCATGGACTCCACCTACCAGGCGAGCCATGAAAGTGCTTTTATTTGGGCCTCCACTGCTTTTGCTGAAAGCTTGGATGCCTCGCTGAATTGCTGCTTTACTTGGCTGTCTGCATTTTCTCCCTCTCCTTTGGCTTTCTGTTTACTGGTGCTATCACAACAACAAAATACAGACATGTAGTTTCCCAGTCCTGTATTACCACTGACTCAAGTAGTCCTTATTTCCTCTATTATTCCTGTATTTCATATTATTCTCCTTTAATTATCACCCATCCTTCTTGTGTCAACTGGTTCCTTTCCTACCATTTCCAAACCCCGAACTTTTCCTCTTGCAGCCCCAGTGCTTCAGGAAAACTTTTCTATGCTTTTAAATCCTGCCTCAAAAACCTCCAGATTCTTTAACACCATTTCTGATACTCTTTTGTCTCCCCAGCCTCTTCCTTGCAAACACAGTAATTTGTTTTCCTGCAGGGAGGATTTATTTGGTTTTGTTACTCTCACCCAGCACTTCAAATCAAAGAACTATGTAATTTAAAATAAGATAACCTGACAGTGGCAAACAGACTCCACTTAAGCCTGCATATTTTTAGGACAGCGTGTAGACTCCTAACACCTGTTTGCATGGGGATCTCCTCGCTGTTTTGTGCTTTATGCAGCTAAATATAAATGTGCAATACCCAAATGCTGTATCTTAGATTTGAGCTTAGCTTGTATTGGATCCTCTTTTTAGATGGAAACAGTAAAATAAATAAATATAAATATAAATATATATATATATGAATAAAATCAAAGCCTTCAGATCCTCACAAAATGTGAACATCAGCAGGACCCTTGGGAGGTCACTTTTTTATTATGGTCCCCATCTTGGCCATTTCCTTGGGGGTTTGTATGTGGCGCTGTGTTTCTGGCGAGCGAGCGCCCACGCCGCCGCACACCCTGCCCTCTGCATTAGCGCTGGGAAGGCCGACAGAAACCAGGAGAACGTCAGGAGACAGAAATCTCCTCCGGATGTCTGTGATCCTGAGGTCACAGCAACTTCTCCCAGACTGGCCCTTCCACAGGGCACTGACCACCTCGCCCTCAAGACCTGCTTGTAGTGAGACATCCACCAGAAATATCCTGTTTTCTAATTTTGGTGTACTGATGGCCATGCATTTGGGGGGGGACTTATTCTCCTTTCCTTCCATCCCCTCTGTCCATTACATTGGCAATTTATCTCCAGGCACGCATGAACACTGGACAAAAATTTCTCTCAAAGGAGACAAACTGTTGCCATTTGCAGTGATGCTGCTCCGTGAGCAGGTGTGAGACGGTGTCTCGGGGTTGGATTACCCTGCCAGTCCTTGGGGCTCCCTCCTCAGATGTTTTTCACCTCTCCCACGTTAGCAGCACGGGCTTCCCAAGCCTACAGGCACACCTTTCCTTCCTGTTTATAGGCACAGCTTCCTCTTCTTCCCCGCAGGGCTTCTTTGCTTTTCCCACTGGCAGCCCCAACATAGCTCATTTATACTCCCTTCGCTTTAGATGCCCTCACTTACTCTGAAATCTGTAAAATTTTCATTTCGCTTTCCATCTGGCCAGTGCTTTTCCCTTTCTCTTCCAGATTCAATTCTCTCCCACACGGATAACAGCTTTTCCCTCTCCAAAGGTCATCCAGAATGTGGTTTCGTAGCCAACCCACCCGCTCCGCTGGGCCTTACGGTAGCATCCTCATTCCCTGGTGGAGGAGGCAGATAAGAAGGGAATGTTGCACAGCGCCTAGTGCGACGTGGGCTTGCACTGTCGGAGGTTTTGCAAGGGCAGTTGTTGCTGCAAGGGCTCTCTCTCAGGGCTCCTTGTTCCCATACCCACCCATTGGGTGATGAAAATATAAAAATTCCACAAGTTCTCCCTTTCTGGACAAACACATGGTGTTCTTGGCCAGCTTCAGCACCAGCCTCATGAGACTCATTGCCTGCAGCTTGAGAAGGAGGCACAGCGGTCACACTGGAACAGAAAAGGCTGTTGTGACAGCAGCAACGCGACTGTGCTTGTGCCCTACTTGTGTGACATGTCCCCCTACACTTCTGCAGGTTTTAGAATGACTGCACTACTTCCACTGGCTTCCAGAGCTCTAGATCCCCAGTGAGGTCACTACCAGCAAGCTGAATATGCCCAATAAAACCCCCAGGAGGCCCGTACTGAAAGATCAAAACCAATGTCTTTCATATCTTGCTATGATTTATGCTTCAGACCATGCAACTTTTACAGTGTTGCCTAGCGTATGACAGATGCAGCTCTCTTCACAACCCACACATTTGTCTGATTTACTGCACTGGCCCTTATTTTGCACCTTGCAAGAACAACCTCGCTTCTAGAATCTGCCTGCATGATAAGATCGTGAATTAAATGTGCAGTTATCACAGGAGACCACACATTTTACAGTAAGATTGAGAAAACTGCTTACAGCAATCCCTCTGGAAACGAGAATAATCGCATGATAAGATAGTGCTAATGGGAATTTATCAGCTCCCATCACATGTGAAGCTTAGAACAAAGCAGCAACGCAAATCAACTGCACAGTTATTCCTGTCGATGAATGTAGGCTACGGGGCCAATGAAGAAACGACGGAGACTGGGGATTCTGGACAGCCAAATCTAAGCCATTTTGGTGTGGTTCAAGAAGCTTACACAGTGAGGCTTATCTTTAACATCAACAAGTGCTACCCCCCCTCCCACCCCCCATCAGAAAGCCTCCTATTTTTCCATACCTCTCTGTGGATAGACTCCATGTCGTTCCTTAGTTTGTTCTCGCTGTATTTTATCACCGGAGTAGCCCAGGAGAGCAGAGTCTCAAGGGTACATGTGTCTGCACACATGCAATGTCTGCATCTACACATGTGCTCTCACACACACACTCTTCCTAAGCCACAGATCTCAGATCTGAAATATGTATTTTTTTTTCTCTTCTGCAGTACGAAAGGCAACAGAAAACCTACTCACAGCATCATTTGTTTCAAACAGTTAATATGACTAAAATAAACCTTTTTAAGGTTGTCCTGGGGAATGGAATACCCAAAACCCAAGCTGGCATGACCACAGATGTAATGTGAACAGTATATCTAAATCCCTTAGGTATCCTGAAATCACTTTGCATCGAGCCCTGCAAGACATGAAACCAGAACTGGCTAATTGCAGACAGTGAATTCCGCGTTCTCTTGAAACAGGTACAACTGGTGACTTGCCCCATTTTCCAGCACCCCGTTTCACAGACAGAGGCCTAGACTTGCACAAGAGATTTTTTTTTCCTTTTTCTAAATGAGAATAAAAGGAGATTAGTTACTGTTACAGGCGGCAGGAGAAGAAGGGAGAAGGATCCTACACAGGTACCTGTATGAGTCCTCTGGTGAGCCTTTAAGTGGGAGCTCTTTGTATAAACCTTGCGGCACCCATTAAATTGACAGCGATGAACCCTCTTCTTGTTTTCTGGGGACGCCTCCGCCCCTGTCCCTCCTTGCTCACTGTCACTTTGCCCACTCTTTATTGTCCCCACAGTTGCTGCCGCTACACCCACTTTCATGGAGCTCAGTGAGGACTTCTTGGCCACCAATTTCAACGTCACCGAGCCGTCCACCGCTGAGAGAGTCTGTGAGGTTTTTACAAGGTGGCGGCTGAGCTCCGGAGAGGAAGGGGGTGTTAACGAGGTTACGGCATTGAGCTGGGCCTGGTTGACGGCCGTGTAGCCTTCTGTGGAAGAGCTACTGGGCTGCAAGCTGAGGCACGTCTCAGAGAGCAGCTTGTCCCGCGAGAGGATAACGTCCACATTGGCGTTTTTATCGCATGCGCTTGTTTCCACTGGCAAGAGGAGGGGGTCCAGCTGTCGGATACTGTCCTCTGCATCAGGAGCTGAGGACGTGTGAAGGAAGCAGTCCAGTTCCTCGCCAAAGCTGTCGGAGATCTTTCGTGGCTCCGTCTGCAGGTATCGCTCCAGTTCCAGGCATGTCTGCAGAAGGAGGGCAAAGGGAGAGAGCAGAGAAAGAAATCAGTGTTAGACAGACTGCAGCGTGGCTCCCACCTAGGGCAGAAACGGTCGCTCTTTGGGAAATAGGAGAATTTGGCACTTATTTGAAGCTGCTCAGGGAATACGTGTGGGAATGTGGGAATATCAGCACACAGCAGCGGATATGTGGTCAAAGTGAAGACTGGAAAGCATCTACTATTTTTTTATGAAAATCTTCATTTTGTCCTGTGAATATGAGGTCCTTTCCAAACGTATGTGTGATCTGGCTAACAGCCACCTCCTCAAGAGGTGATTCTCACTGCCTCCTCTCCTGGACACCTACAAGTAAAATGTCACCTCTGCAAAGAATCATTTCTTCTTTCTCCACAAACATTAAATTTCTCTCCAAACATAACTCAGCATAGTTGTTCTTAAAATGGCACAATTCTGAACTACCTCATTTTAAGGCAGAAAGAGGAGATAAACTCCAGTGATACCAGAGATTATTTAAATGGCCTAAAACAAGGGAAGACGTGACAGAAATAAGGGTCCTATTGTCATTTTGGAGGGTTTTTGGTGTATCTGGTCAGGTGGCACTTCCCGCATACAAGACACTAGACTTGCACACACACACATAGCTTTTCAAAAGTAAAGATAGTTAAAGTGGCTGTCACTTGAAAATCAGTTCCCCTGTCTCTGAAGCAATGATTGTCAATACAAGGATGGGCCCCTCTGCTTAAACGGGCCTTATATGAGGTGTCCTCAACCGGCTTCAGTAAAACCTGCAGGCACCATCAAACTGCTCAATGTTCTCCAAAACCCACATTATAAACTTTGATTATTTATAGAAAACAGTTAGCTGTAGTTTCAGGAGCTTTTAACAGAGTTCATTAGTGCTATTTTTCATTCCTTGCTGCTTGCAAGGGTAGCTGGTGTAGTAACATAATGGCAATTTTACAGGGCTTGGAGAAACACACGTTCTAGTATTTTTTTAGAAACCTCTAAAAACTGCTCCTGAGAGAACACTTCTAGAGACAATAAGGAAGGGGATTTTAGAACAACATTTTCAAAGGAGCCTACGGTCACACAAGTGCATCTCAACCTGGAAGTCAAGCACCCAATGGAGAAACAAAAACCTGTTACCAGCAGAGAGGAGCAGAGGCAGATTCCTGACACCTGAGTACAAAGGTCTCAACGACAGGAGGATAAAGAGGTTCCATTCACAGCTGTCTAGGAGCTAAGAAGCAGTCCAGGATTATTGCTTTCATATAGCAAAGGAGGAACACTGTTCTTTTCACAGGTACTTAGGTGAGATGACTTTCAGAGTTAAGAATTTGTTGGATATTTGTGAGGGTTTTTTTTTTTTTTTAATAATCACTGATAACAGATCTGAGCTGTAGAGATGGGCTTGGGCAGAAAACAATAAAACAGCAATATACACAAGAGAACAGAGCTACAGTTTAGTGTGTGTGTAATTTTCAGAGCATGGTATCGTACTTATATGCCTGCACACAGGCTTGGAGACAGAACACTGGCTGGTTTGCATTCTCACCTTAGCCAATTACCTCACTCGGGGCTCAGCTTCCGCAGCCTTATTTATCACTAAAGAGGTTTCTGAAGAACTGACTTTGTCAAATACTTGGGAGGTGAAGTTGTCCAGCTTTTGCACCCCTGACGCTCAACAGGGATGGTCCAGCTCCCTAACACAGAGGGCCAAGGTGCCCTCTCTGCAGGGCAGGTCCCTGCCCCACATCCCTACTTCTACCCAGGGGATTCCCTTTCCCTTAGCCATGTCAGCCATGGGTTGGATTTACTGCTCGGGCAGCGGGTTACCTCTGTATCACTGCACTGCTCCAACCAGCCGCTAATCCCATTTTCTGCCAGTGAGCTTTTCTAGCAGGGAGCAGCTGAGAGAAGCTGGAGTCACATGAGAAGGATTCCCCCGCTCCACCTGGCTCCCACCGCGAGACCCGCGAGCATCGCTCCGGCGCTCCCACAGCTCAGTTTTCTGGAACGGCTCCTACTTCCTGCTGCAACAACGTGACTCGGCCACAGTGCATCCACCCTGCTGAAGCCCAAAGCTTCCCGAGAGCCTGAAACGATGGGAATCGGCATGGAGCTTCCAAGCGACCTGCCACAGCATCTCATGCTGCTCTTGCCCAACCTTGCTGGGACCGTGCGACCGCAGCAGTTTTTCACCCCGAGCTGCCTGCACGCCAGCGCATGATCAAGCGCCAAGGACTTCTCCAAAGCGGCGAGGCAGGTGACAGGGCTCTCAGCTTTCACCTGGGAGCCTCCTCTCCCGGGAAGGTCCATACAAACTGCTTCCTGAGCAAGCACCAGGCACTACCAGGGTTGTCCCTAGGGCACCAGTGCCTATGGATCATGCTTACACTCCACTTGCAGGAGCCTGGAAAAACATGAGCCAAGGCTGCGCCAAAGGACCTGGAAAGTGCGATGCTGGGAGTGCAAGGAATGGCGTTAGCTGAGGCTCTGGTCTCTCCCCAAATGCATCCAAACAGGCTTTGGGGTCAGTTTTCCAAAGGGATCCCCCCCCAGCCTTTCAGGAATACACACCCCAAAATCGGCGATGCCTCTGAATTCCCCCCCGCATTTAGCTGGGGCTTTTGCATTCGCTTAGCTTTCCCCCGGGGAGGGTGGGACAAATTCAGGGACCCAATAAATACCGGCTTCCAAATGAAAGAGCAAGCATAATCATAAATTAGAGATTAGAAGGAAAAAAAAAAAAAGAGAGAGAGACAGGCAGAGACTCCAGGCCATTAAGGCTGATGACAGTCGCATGAAATCTCAATTGCCCTGGGATCAGACAGGCTGCACTCTGTGCTGCCTGCGGAAGGAAGCAGGAGATGCTGCCCCTTTAAGACATAACTACCCCATGACAACAATTGTAGCCCTGACGGTTTTTCCAGCTTCACCATTAATTTTCCATAAAGAGCAGCTTCTTGATGAGCCCTTTTCAGGCGAAGCCTGATGCTTCAGAAACCTGTAATTATGGTTGGCTCCCCGCTCCCGCAGCCACTGCACCTGTGCCATTTCAAGACACCAGCTGGCCATGTCTTGCCTTCTGCCTCTGAAATCCAAAACCCGGAGCTCAAGCACTCTCCCCTCACAGAGGGGGGGAAAAAGGAGATCTCAAAGAAACAACATAATGAATTCCCTCCCTTTCAACCCCCATGGCCTCTGGAGTCAACATGAGGAAAAGCCCTGGCAACGTGGAGCCAGGGAGGCCTCCGTCTCATCTAAGCAGCAGACAAAGCGTGACAGGGATGCGGCCGCAGCCTCCTTCCCTCATCCCCCAGCTCCTAACTGCTGCTCTGCTGAGGGCAGAGAGCAAGCGAGGCAGGATTCTGAAATCCACCTTTTTTCTTTGCGACTCTTCTGGCAGGACTTTTAGTTTTTAGGTCAGCTAAGCCCATCCTCTTGGCCTGGGCTCTGACCTGCAGAAACCTCTCAGGCCAAGACCAGCCATGTAGGGCAAGAGAGGCAAGAGAGGTTTTTGGTCTCGATGCCCACAAAGTCATTCACCAGCAAGATCGTCAGGAACTACCGATTTTGGGTGGGAACAGTAGAGTGTTAACAACCATCCACTGAGTTATGAACCTAAACTGGTAGATTCAGACTCTGGAGAACCTTTCACAGATCTTCTGTCTTCACTGCCAAATGGAGAGGAAATGGTCCAGACCTGTGCTGCTCTCCACCTGATCTCCGGTCTTGCTGCATGCCCAGCTTCTCCTTAAACGCTCACGCAAGAGGAGGGCAGATTGGGGTAACAGATATAATAAATCTCACATGAGATCTATACTTCACTATTCTGTAGGCTGCTACACTGCAGGCAACTTGACAAGCACTAAACTTTCTCACACAGCATTTGAATGATTTACAGCAATAAAGACTTCAAAAATTTGTAATGGGCAGAGAAAGATGGTTTCCTTCACAGACACAAGGACAAGATCCATAGGACCACTCATTGCTGTCAAGATGTTCTCAGGCTAGGGATAAAAAGTGACCCACTACTTTAACCTACCTGCCCTGATTTACAAGGGTCATTCTGTTGGCACCTTGCTCTTCAATTTAGCCAGCTAAAAGCCATGATGATTCATTGCTGACAATCAATAGGATGTGACCTTGCCAGACCCCACGTGCTTGCAGAAAGCACCTGGAGGAGGACGGCAATGTGGCAGGTGGGCATTTCCAGCAAGGCCTCAGCTTGATTTTTCATGTTCGGGTACAATTGCAAAAGAAGGGTCACTGTCCCAACAGAGACTGGTCCCATTGCCTGAAAGAAAGTCAGACACTGAATAGGACAGTTTTGTCTCTAGCTTCAACAGTGATAATACAAAGCCCAGAAAAACCCTCCTAGACTTGCAGGCATTTGGCTTCAACTCAGAACAGCTTACATTGCTGGATGCTGTCTGGGTTAAAGTACAACCACAACGCTCAAAATCGAGCTAGGAAGGTGCTGGAGTCAGTGCTCATGATGTTGATTTTTGCCTTCATCACTTTCCTCCAGAAAGCAGCCAGCAGGAGAGCTCCCGGTGGGACTGCCGTGGTCATGCGTGTGCCAAGTCTCAAGGCAGTGGAGGTACCCGAGCTCTCTGTCTGCACTTGAGAGAACAACCCATAGCCGTGTCTGGGGAGGACATGTGCCCTGTGTCTGGGTTCAGACCCAGACAGCACTGGAAAAACTAATTCCAACTGATGACCCTGAATGAACTCTCACTTTCAAGGATATAAATCTGAAGTTGCTCCAGTGAAAACAACTGGTCTTGATTTGCAGCCACCCTGTATATCAGAATTTGACCTATATAGATAGGCTCTTGAAAAATTAAAGGTCACTTCAGAAGCATTTGCCTATCCTGTGGAGTCTTTCCAGTGTTCAGAAACTCCTGGGCACTTTTCACAGCTGAGGACAACATGGCAACAGGAAAGTTCTGCCAAATCAAAACCCAAGCACTTAATAGTGATTTGAAACCAGTCAGGGA